AGCTCACACCTAAGCAATTTAAAGTGCTTTTTCATTTATTCATCAGTTGAACCTAGCCTTAGAGTGGTTCCTCATCATGTGATTAACAATGATCTAGTATGCACATGCAGGCTTCAGACTTCAGTGACAAAGTAAACCTTCAGCCTGCATATTGCCACTGTTTTTGTCAGATAAATTTATAGTATTAAAAAAAAAATGTTCATTTTGCAATTTTGTTAGCCTCTAAAAAAATAAAACAAAACATGATTTTATGTCAACAATGTACTGATTTAAAACCTTTATATATTATTAAAAATAATTTGTTATGCAAATTAGCATGGAGCTATTGGCAAGTTGCTTGCTAATGCTGCTAAGTTTAGCCTGGCCATCAAGGCATTGATGACTACTGGCCGTGAAAGGGTTAAAGGTGATTGCTCATGTGATTACAGAATAAAGTATAGCTACATGAAAAAAAACTACATGGGCTGTATGCTTGTGGTGTATTTTCTACACTTGTCAGAAACAGATGTTAATTAAGGCTATTGTTTATGACAACCAACAAAAAAATCACACCAGAGAAAATGCTGTCCCAGGTGATTGCATATGGATCAATTATGAGTCCTCTTCTTTCAGGGTCAAACTGTGTAATATTTCCAATAAGGTTGACATTTAAAGTCCCATTTGGCATATAAACAAGATTGTAAACATCATAATCTGAGGACATTTCATTGTGTTTAAAGTATTTCCTCTCCCCAAGCATATTGAAAAAGTCAACATTTTTCAGAAAGTAGTGCAACTGTGGATGGAAGAGTAATAAAACATGGTAATACATTTATATTCAGCAAGATCTCTTATATCCCTTGGTTTGTGACTCCTAGAATAAAATATGCGATTTCAGATAACACAATGGCAACTGCTCTAGTAGTTAACACAGGCATGGTGGAAGGTTATTTGACATCTGCCTAAGATGTTTCTATTGAGTATCTGACAGTGATGGGGCCATGGATTGTAAACCAACCCCCCTGCATTCAGAACTTAAGAGTGCAATGCCAGATAATCTGGAAATTGGGAACTACTATGTGCTGCCTAAGATCCACAAGCCAGGATGTCCAGACAGACCCATCATAACAGGTATGGGTCACTCAATTCACTGAACACATTTCAAGCCTTGTAAAAAAAAATTCTTAAAGTGGATCTCAACCCAAAGGGTGGCGGGGGGACAGGTACCCGCTCCCACGTCCGGTCTGATCGCCTAGTGTAAACCAGTCAAATTACTTGTTATGGGTATTGTCAGTGTTTCCATATTGTGTTTATACATGTTTACATATTGATGGTCTTAGTTTTTAATGTCATTTTTTTCTTTTTAACACTACAGCTGATTTCCTGAACAAGCTCCACAATATACAGTATATCAATTATCACTAAAATATGTTTCTAGTGACTATCGATGTAGAACCTCTAAAGCAAGATCCCTCACAAAGATGGGATTGTTGCAATGCACAGATTTTTATCATCATCACCAAACCACAAATACAGTGCTGAAGTCAGGGAGGAGCCTTGCTGTATTGACGTCACGCCGCACAGAGGCTGCATGGAAGGCCGGTGGCCATCTTTGTCCCTGTAAGCTTGTGCTGACAGCTGTTTGTGGATTCATCCTTTTCATACTAATAAAATACTACACTATCAGCACTTTATTGTTTCTGGCTTGTGTTTAACGAGTCTTTTATGGTGGAAACATCCTCTTTTGAGCTATTTTTGTCTGGTGGTGAAGAAGTATTGAGGAGCTGTTCCTGTATACTGAGAGGATCCTGTGAGTGAGGTCTGGAGTTATGCCTTGTATGCTGTCTGTGTGCCAGATGATTCCTATTCCTTACCTGAACCCAGATGACCACTGAGGATAAAATATACACATGTGCAATAATATTGTGCTTCTGCTGAGTGCAATCACACTACTGATCCTTATCATGAAGTCACGTGCACGGATTTCACAGAAAAATTGGACTGTTATATGTTTTTTCCATATTTTATTGGTTATATGTCAACAAATTTCAGTAATTATACCCAGAAGTCGCGATGGTTTTATAAGTCGCTATTTATTACATCAACTCATGATGGTACACTTGATATATATTATCATTTTAGCGCAATTTAGCACTCACACTTGATGCATCAGTCACTTTATGAATTTTCATCGCTGCATTACTTATTTATCACAGTGCCGAGGATGTTAAACACATCATAGAATTCCTTCTAACACGCAAAGAATTCACTTTTGATAATATGTATCTTCAGTGTATGGGTATTGCTGTGGGAAATGAAATGGTCCCCCAATATGCCAAATTATTTATGGCAGACCCAGAGGACAAATTCCTTAACAGCATATAACAAAAGTCAATATCCACTTGCCCTCCAGAGGATTTACCCCCTTCCTGACCAGGCCATTTCTTGTGATACGGTGCTGCGTTGCTTTGACAATTTTGCAGTCATGCAACACTGCACCCAAATGAAATGTAAGTTCTTTTTTTCTCACAAATAGAGAAAAAAAGTGGTGGTGGTATTTGATTGCCTGTGCACTGTAGAAAAAAAAATGACCAACAATTTAAAAAAAAAAAAACAATATTTTTGACTTTTTGTAATTAAACATATCCAGCGAAAAAATTTAAAACATCGAATTTCATCATAAATTTATGTCACAATGTATTCTGCAACATGTCTTTGCTAAAAAAAAACTCCCAATACATGTTAATTAATTGGTTTACGTGACAGTTATAGCAACTACAAATGGCAGTATAGATACTGGAATTTTTTTTTTTTTTAATACTAGTAATGGCGGCGATCAGCAACTTATAGTGGGACTGCGGCAGGCAATCTGACACTGGGGGGAACTGACTGTCACTGATATCCCAAGTGATACCAATACTGTGATTATTGCTAATAAAAAGCACTGACACTGTACTAATGACACTGGGCAGGAAGGGTTAACATCTGGGGTGATCAAAGGGTTAAATGTGTGCTATGCTGTGTTTTGCTGTGTGTGCGCTTTACAGTGTATCTACCAGGGATGACAAAACACACACCTCAATATACAGAAAACCCACTTATCGATGCAACTATCTCCACAGCTCCAGTTAACACACCAGTAGTCATCATACACAGCCAAGCCACGCTTATGATATGACATAGAAGACAGAATATTAGCAGAATCCTTCCATAAGAAAGGTTGCAAGAATAAAACTATTAGTGCAAGCATAAACACTTTCTTGAAAACCCACATAGAAAATTTCCTACAATACAAAGAGAAAAAAAAAACGTGTACCTCTGGTAACCACATACAATCCAGCACTAGAAGAAATAAGAAAGACAATGAAAGCTGCAACCCTTCATAACAGAGGATGTATCTGTAAATAAAATGTTCCAACAGTCCCCAAAGCTTGTCTTCAGGCAGCCACCCAAATGCAGACATATACTGATCAGAATGAAACCTAATTCTGATTACAGGGACACAAACAAGAGAACTAATCCTTGCAACAGCCAACGCTTTCCCCCTACAGTGGGGTTTTTGGAGGAGGACCTTGGAGGTAGTGGGTGGATCTGAGGAGTAACTGGCTGCACTCTTGAGGGACCTCAGCCAATCCCCAACAGAAGGCTTAGAAAGGGGCTGGGACACCCTTAAAATTGTAGGAGCCTGCTCAGTAGCAAGAGTGTGGTGGTGGGATAGGTGTAGAGAGTTGGAGGAAAATGTGAGGCTGGAGGAGAAAGGCTGCCAGGAGGCCTAGTGGGATGGGGCCTGCCTGTGAGCCTGGAGCCAGAGAGGAGGAAAACTTGGGACTCACTGACCCCTGAGAGAGCACCACTTGTATGGCAGAGATGGAGTAGCCCAGTTGATATGACTGGTAGCAGCAGCCAACCCACAAGCAGTACAGGAGAGGATCTGAGTGAGTACACTTACAGTCCCCTGGGTGGATAGGGGAAGGAGCACTCTGGTGAGAAACCAGATTAGCCCACTACTAGTGATTGTTCACCTCATCTAAAGGAACAGGAGCCAGATCCCTTGCTCAGTCTCCAGATTGCTAGGTGAAGAGGTGTTCATCTAAGGCAGGGGTTCTCAAACTATGGCCCGCGGGCCACATGCGGCCCGCCGAGGACATTTATCTGGCCCGCCGGGCAGGTGCATATCTGCCACGGTAGGGAGAGCTCGGCAGGGCTCGGGCGGGATCAGCAATTCTAGAACAGGGGAAGGTGGGCTCGGCTTATGAACCCGCACCACTCACCTGGCCTCTCTGCAGCCAGCCGGCCATCTATTCTGATCAGTGTATGCAATCGTCACGGCCGGAGGGCAGAGCCTAGAGCTGACCATGAAGAGGGGGAGTAAGAGAGGAGACGCCATCGCTGCATGTCGGGTATCACAGCCACGGACCCTTGATAAGTGCAATAGATGATCAATCTCCTCCCTCTCTCTTTCCCCCTCTCTCCTCCCTCCCCCCTCTTTCTTCCCCCTTCCTCGCTCTCCCCCCCCTCCTCCTCTCCTCCCCTCCCCCCTCTCCCCCCCCCTCCTCTCTCTATCCCCCCCTCTCTCTCTCTCTATCCCCCCCCCCCCTCTCTCTCTCTCTCTCTATCCCCCCTCTCTCTCTCTCTCTATCCCCCCTCTCTCTCTCTCTCTATCCCCCCCTCTCTCTCTCTCTCTCTCTATCCCCCCCTCTCTCTCTCTATCCCCCCCTCTCTCTCTATCCCCCCCTCTCTCTCTCTATCCCCCCCCCCCCTCTCTCTCTCTCTCTCCTATCCCCCCCTCCTCTCTCTCTATCCCCCCCTCCTCTCTCTCTATCCCCCCCTCCTCTCTCTCTATCCCCCCCTCCTCTCTCTCTATCCCCCCCTCCTCTCTCTCTCTATCCCCCCCCCTCCTCTCTCTCTATCCCCCCCCTCTCTCTCTCTCTCTCTCTCTACCCCCCCCTCTCTCTCTCTCTACCCCCCTCTCTCTCTCTCCCCTCCTCTCTCTCTCTCTACCCCCCTCTCTCTCTCTCCCTCTCCTCCCTCTCTCTCCCCTCCTTATCCCCCCCCTCTCTCTCTACATTGTACACAGATCTGACCCAACAAGGTGTTCTACATTTACTGTATATTTCGCTCCATAAGACACACTTGAGAAATGTCTGTGCGTCTTATGGAGCTGCCAGCCCAGTATTCCCGCCGCCGTTGTATGTCCGCAGTCTCTGGTCATCTCATGTACAATGTCCGCAGTCTCTGGTCATCTCCTGTACCGTGTCCGCAGTCTCTGGTCATCTCCTGTACCGTGTCCGCAGTCTCTGGTCATCTCCTGTACCGTGTCCGCAGTCTCTGGTCATCTCCTGTACCGTGTCCGCAGTCTCTGGTCATCTCCTGTACCGTGTCCGCAGTCTCTGGTCATCTCCTGTACCGTGTCCGCAGTCTCTGGTCATCTCCTGTACTGTGTCCGCAGTCTCTGGTCATCTCCTGTACTGTGTCCACATTTGTTCATAGTTTTTTTTTTTTTAAACTATAGTCCAGCCCTCCAACAGTCTGAGGGACAGTGAACTGGCCCCCTGTTTAAAAAGTTTGAGGACCCCTGATCTAGGGTCTGGGGTGGTACAACTAGGAGATGCTGGCTAGCACTAACTCCAGCACTCCAACAGAGACTGCATCAGAGAAGAGAAGCTTATGAATAGTTAAGAAAGTTGTCTTCAGATTTTGGTTCTCTTGGGCGTCCTATACACCACTTACCCCATCCAAGTTCTAATCCCCTCAATAAAATAACAAAACTGATGCTCAAGGAGTGGTTTCTGTCTCCGGATGAAAGCTTGTGTTCAAAATGCTGAATGACTGGCTGTGCAGGACTATAGGGGGGACCCAAATTAATCAGCAATACCTAAGGGGGTAGTGCTACACCTGCTAAAAGTAATTGTTAAGAGGTTATCAGTTAAGTTATCATGTCACCCAATATTTGGTTTCTATTCAGTAGCCAAAAAAGGCATTCAAAAAAGAGGGTTTGTGAAAAGAGATTCACAGAAAAGCGGCTACATAATGAATAGAATGTGACACTCAGAAAATTTCCAAAAATTATGCTTTATTACACATATATAGATATGACATATGGGCATATGCCCTGGTTTACCATCACCTCAGTATGAGACAATAACACACAGACCTAAAACCATATAAAATGACATCAAGACCGGTCTAAATGCATGTGCAACAGAAAGAATGACTTCAGGAGTCTAATACCTCTGCAGCGCAAGCACATAGGTGAACACTTCCATGGGGAGGTGTATCCAAAAATTGTACCATAAGTATACCATAATATTGAATATATAATAAATGACAATATCAATCTGGTGAATCCCAATAAGGGAATCCAAAAATTATACTATGGATATATACAGTATATATATCACATGTATGCAAGGCAGCAGCACAAAAAGCGTGAAGAAGAGAACAATAGGCCTAGGGCCTGTATGGAAAAAGACATAAATGTCCAATATATGATACAATGCATTCCTGTGCCAGCACACGTGGTTGGGGCCCATTCATCTGTAATATGAACAGCTGTATCTCAGAGCTTTTGAATGAAAATAAGCCCCAGTTATTCCCAGGATGGGAGAAAAGATGCAAATAGCAACATTCTGCTTGAAATGGTGTCTTCACCACTATTTGTGGACTACACACCACCTTTTGTAGAAAAAACAACAAGACATATCCCAAGGTATCTTCTGCTTGTAGAAATATATGGTGTTATATCTTGTGTCCTACATAAAGCACCATGATGTCCCCATCCTGTAGTAAAACAAATAATGTGGGAAGTCACTGACAGAGCTTACACTCAGTAAGATATATAGATCATATAGATCACAGAGGATCATATATCTAATGTCCCGCAACAATCCACTCACCACCTGTGCTGTGGAAAATGAGAATAAAAGAAATGTCCTTCATGGGTATTGCCATACACGGCCACAGAGACCAGGGAGCCACCGCTGACATCCACCGATATACCGCGGGCTCCACAGCCCCCTCTTGGCGCTTGTGCTGCTCACACTTGCCTCATGGCATGTGAAGATGGCTTCCTCCTCATGGACCAGCGTGCGTTCCACCTAGTGCGCATGACCGGAAGTGACGTAACTGACGTATGACGTCAACGCGTTTCGCCGATGGGCGTATCTCACTCAGCTTCGTCAGGACCAATGGGATAACTGCATTTCAATATCCTATTTATAGTGGGTAAGAACCCACCCATTTATGCAAAAGAGGATGACCTGCAATTATTCTAATGGGAAAGAACAAGGGGGGGGAGGCTAAATGCTTAGCACAGCTGCTGGTCTTAATAAAATTAAAAGAAAACAGACGGCTGGAGTCAACAATGAGGGGAGAGGCTGAATATTATTTACCGATATACATATTGATCACATCAGATTGATGTTGTTTTTTCTACAAAAGGTGGTGTGTAGTCCACAAATAGTGGTGAAGACACCATTTCAAGCAGAATGTTGCTATTTGCATCTTTTCTCCCATCCTGGGAATAACTGGGGCTTATTTTCATTCAAAAGCTCTGAGATACAGCTGTTTCATATTACAGATGAATGGGCCCCAACCACGTGTGCTGGCACAGGAATGCATTGTATCATATATTGGACATTTATGTCTTTTTCCATACAGGCCCTAGGCCTATTGTTCTCTTCTTCACGCTTTTTGTGCTGCTGCCTTGCATACATGTGATATATATATATATCCATAGTATAATTTTTGGATTCCCTTATTGGGATTCACCAGATTGATATTGTCATTTATTATATATTCAATATTATGGTATACTTATGGTACAATTTTTGGATACACCTCCCCATGGAAGTGTTCACCTATGTGCTTGCGCTGCAGAGGTATTAGACTCCTGAAGTCATTCTTTCTGTTGCACATGCATTTAGACCGGTCTTGATGTCATTTTATATGGTTTTAGGTCTGTGTGTTATTGTCTCATACTGAGGTGATGGTAAACCAGGGCATATGCCCATATGTCATATCTATATATGTGTAATAAAGCATAATTTTTGGAAATTTTTCTGAGTGTCACATTCTATTCATTATGTAGCCGCTTTTCTGTGAATCTCTTTTCACAAACCCCTCTTTTTTGAATGCCTTTTTTGGCTACTGAATAGAAACCAAATATTGGGTGACATGATAACTTAACTGATAACCTCTTAACAATTACTTTTAGTATATGTATCTTTTTGGGTTCTGATGGACCTGTTCTTTTAGAGGTTAATTGACGTTGATAATTTGGTTTGCCATCACCCCAGATTGTGAGTGTTTTATTTTTATAGACGGCTGGAGCACCCTGAGTGAGGGGCTGGTATTCATGGCATTCATACCGGGAGATGAGGTAGAGTTGGAAATGCATCAAGCCTTTGTAGCAGAAGGCCCAAATCTATCTACTGAAGATGAGGACATTAAGATTAAATTCCGGGAACATAAAAAAGCTTGTTATCAAACGTCTCAATCGTAAGTGGGATGTTTGCTTCTTGGAAGCTTATATCAGACAGAGTATTATCCCACGTGGTCTGAGAAGTAAGGTTGTTCCAGCTGAACATTTACATAATGAAAGGTTTTTGGAGAAGTGGAAAGTGCTGTGTATAGAACATGGGATTAATGGTATGAAACTTATTGTAGAGGAAGAAAAATTACAACTTGAAGAACTGGATCAGGCTATCAATAAAAGCGCATTAGATCTAGATCCTTTTAAAAATCAGGAGAATTTTGCAAAATATAATGAACAACTGAAAAAGGAAGTCGAAAAAGTACAGAAAAATCTTAGAACTACTAAACAAACTAAATTTAGACGTGATTTAAAAGACTGGGAAACAGGTGAGATATTTGATCTCACCACAAAAAGAAGTAGGAGTCGATCTAAACGAAGAGTTTTTCGTTCACATTCTAGATCAATGGGAGAAACTATGTCTAGTGAAAGTGAGTCAGAAAATCTTGGGAAATCGGTCTCTTTTTTAGACCAACAGAACGGAGAACCTCCTCGTAATCCATCAATTACAGATGGGAAGAGGATCAAAAAAGAAAGTAGAGGAATCCTTAAAAAACAAACATCAGGAGGACAAGGGCAGAACAAGAAGTCAGAGGAGGTAGTAGAAGAGAATATTAATGACAAAAAGGTGATCAATTTGGCTAACTTTCCACTTAAAAGGGAACATATTTCTTTATTAAATAAAGGAATGTCCTTTTCACCAGTGACTCCCATGGACGAGTTCGAGGTATTTAAAGATGTAAACTTATTTCTAAGAAAAGTTTTTCCTGAGAATGATACACAGTAATCCCATTATCTTGGAGGATTTGGCCTCTGACTCGTCCACTGAGGATCGCAAGATGCTGGATATGTTGATATCTCTCATAGAAGAAAATGAGGATGATGATGAAAATGTAATAGATTTGGATAATTTTAACAACATTATTAGAAAGGTCGATCTAAACATCAGATCGACAAAAATGCCGAAAATTCGTTCTAATATGAGGATCTCGACATTTCTAGACTTTGTTGCTGATGATCTTAAAAATCTTGAGTGGAAAATGCCAATTGGTGATAACCTCACTAAAAGAGAAAGAAAAGCTCTAAAAGAATTAAAAGAGACTAGAGACATTGTCATTAAGAGAAGTGATAAAGGGGGTAATGTGGTGATTATGAAAGAACTAAATTATGTTAGGGAGGTGAAACGTTTATTGAGTGATTCATCCACATATAGGAAAGTGACTGCGAATCCTTTCCATATGGTGGTTAAAAAACTGAATTCCATTTTAACATTAGGAAAAGAAGTGGGTTTATTAACAAAAAAAGAATATGACTATCTGAGAACTGAAGAATTCAATCACCCTACTTTTTACATTATCCCAAAAAATACATAAAAAAACCAAGAAAACCCTCCAGGCAGACCTATTGTTTCTGCCATCAATGGTCCCCTAGACAAAACAGGGAAATATATTGACTTGTTTCTTAAGGATATGGTTCCGAATCTCGCCTCATATGTTAGGGATACTAAAGATGTGTTGGCTAAAATCAAAAATATGACTATTCAGGACAACTCCATTCTAGTGGGAATAGATGTGGAGTCACTTTACACCTCTATCCCACATGAATGTGGTGTGTGAGATCAGTTTCCTACTTCCTTGACAAAACATATCCCACTTTAGGAGGACAGAACGAATTTATTAGTGAGTTACTGGAGTTTGCACTGAAACATAACTTCTTTCAATTTAATAATACCTTTTATCAGCAAACTAGAGGTACTAGTATGGGAGCACCGTGGGCTCCGGCTTACGCATGTCTCCATTTGGGGTTTTGGGAGGAACAAGTAG